GGGATCTGGGTATCGTCTATGCATGACCCAGACCCCACCATCTCATGATTGTATGTGTGTGGAGTGATGCCATGTAGGTCAGTCTATGTGAGTCAGTCTATGTGAGTCAGTTCGTTATCAGACTTCCGCTGCATAAATGCTCATCCTATATTGGTTGATCTTTGGTTCTGCCCATACTCATTGAAGTATGTAACAGAAACCGAAGAGCAGGAAATCAAAAAAAAAAAAAAGCACGCTGGCGGGTGGTACCCCGCGGACCAGGGATCGAGCCCTGGTGGAGTCCGTAACACTATCCCCTCCCTCTAGAAGGCAACGTCCCGGCTGCCAAAAGCCATGAAACAATGCTGAAGTCTGGGAAGGATGTGACGGGGCCGATCACTGGTCAACATGTCAAAAGGAAGAGGGGTATAATGTGGGTGGCCTGGGTCGGGGAGTAAGAGGGAACAGGGTTATCCTATCAACGAGCTAAGGAGTTTTGCATGGTATTTCTACTAATGTGCTAAGGGGGCTGGGAAGCACAGGGAAAGGGTAATCCTACCAACGAGCTAAGGGGTTTTGCAGGAATCAGGGTAGTTCTACTGATGTGCTAAGGGGGTTGGGAAGCACAGGGAACAGGGTAATCCTACTGATGAACTAAGGGGTTGGAAACAACAGGGAAACAAGGTAATTCTACTGATGAACTAGGAGGTTCAGGGCAAACAGGTTATGTGGTCCTCAAAAAAAAGGAAATTTGGCTTGCGATGTACGGGGCGGGGTTGCTGAGGGTGGGCGATTTAGTGGTACAGGTTGAAAGTTCTGTGTAGCAGTCCATGTAGATGTCTTGAGAACAGGTCTTGAAAGGTGTCGCAGAAGTGTCGGTGAGAAAGCAGTCTTCAGCAGGTCTGTGATGTGGACGGCGAGAGTTTCAGCTTGAATGTCCCAGTAGCAGGATGCGTCCGGTACTCGGATCTGGTGCTGAGGTCTGATCCGGATAGCAGGTCGCAGACTGATCTTGATGTCCCTGTCAGAGGTGCTGCTCCAGAAGTCTGCGAGTCCAAGGTGCCGGCCAAAGGAAACAGCATGGTGGCCAACCAGCTGTCTTATCTCCTCGTACTGAGTTGCAGCATGCCATCGTCCTCGTGCGCTTGCGATTAGATCCATTATCGCCGGCGACGCGCAGGGGCCACATAAGGAACTTGCACAAGAGGGACAAGGATGTGGCGGAGGACAGATGGGAGAAGGGGGCGAGGCGAAGGCAAGAGCGGATCAGACAGAGGGAGGTCAAGGGGCAAGGGCTTTGTTGGGGACAGGGGTGTGTGTAGGGCAGGAATGCGGGATTTTGGCGGGGTCAAGGCGGGGTTTATGCAGGGGTTTAAGGTTAGGGATGTATCTAGGATATAGGGTGAGCGCGATCATAGGCGCGAACAAGTTTCATAGCGTTCTTGAGATTAGAGAGAGGTTCCCATGTAGATTCTTCATCGGGGTATCCGGTCCATTTGACTTTGTATTCTTTGATAGGTTCCGGATGGTCTGATACCTGTGTAGTTTGTCGTCCTATGATGGATTCTACTACGAATTCCGGGCCTGTGGGAAGCATGATTGGTAAACGTCGGGGTTAAGGTCGGTCAGCGAATGGAGGTGGGGATTCATGATACTTTTTTAGGTATTTTATGTGGAAGACAGGGTGGACACGACTCATGTCAGGGGGGAGTTGGAGTTCGTAGTTAACATCAGAGGTTTTTTCAAAGATGGGGAAGGGTCCGAGCCATTTGTTCGAGAGTTTCTTTGATAATCCATGTTCGGGTTCAAAGCGTTTGGCGGAGAGCCAGACTTTGTCCTCGACTTTGAATTGCAAGTCTTGTCTGCGTTTGTTAATCTTGTTTGCTTGTTGTTCATGTGTTCTTTCAAGGGCTTCGGTTGCTTCTCTGAGGAGTCGTGATTCATTGTTGCTACCCATTCATTGAGGGAAGGGCAGGTGGTGGAGGGGTTGAGCTGCGAGGGAAGCAGGCAGTCGGAGGGCAAGCGAGGATGGTAGCCAAGGTCGAGGTAGAACGGGGACATGTTAGTGGAAGGGCAGATGGCGTTGTTATAAGTGATCTCGGTGGCTGTGGTCCCAGTCGTGTTGGTGTGGATGACAATACTTCCGCAGGATTCTTTGGAGAATATCGTTCATCTTCTCGGTTAGTCCATCGGACTGGGGGTGGAATGCAGTGCTATACTTGAGCGTGGTTCCATATGCTTTGAAGAGGTGTTTCCAGAATTGTGAGAGGAAGCGGGGATAACAGTCACTGATGATGTTCTCGGGGAGAAAGTGGGCACGTTTGGTCAAGCGGCAGACAATGACGTAGATGCAATCATGCCCGCGGTCGGTCTTGGGGAGGCCGCACACGAAGTCCATAGAGATGGACTGCCACCGGTGAGTTGGGATGGGCAATTATTGGAGCTTGCCGGGTTTGGCCCGGTTCGAGGGGTTGACAACTTGACACGTGGGGCATGAGCAAATGTATGCTTTGACGTCGGCGAGCAGGGAAGGCCAATAGAAGTAGGGGGAGATGGTGTCGAAGGTTTTCTGGAAACCGAGGTGTCCTGCGGTCTTGGCATCGTGGTGCTCGGCCAAGAGTTGAGTACGGAGACCACGTGCGTCGGGGATGCAAAGTCAGCAAGTGCGTTTGGTATCGATGTAGAGAAGGTTGTCGTGAAGGGAGTAGTCGGGGATTGGGTCAAGATCGCGAAGCTTGTTGTAGATGGTGGCGAAGTCTGGGCAAGAGAGGTAGCATTGGGTGGATCGGTGATGGAGTGATGGGAGGAGTTGGATATGAGTCATGGCGGCGTAGACTTTCTCGGGGAGCTTGTGGTCGAGTCGTCGAGAGAGGGCATCCGCAACGCGGTTGCTTTTGTCGGGGGTATGGCAAATGGTGAATGTGAACTGGGCAAGGAAGTCTAGCCAGCGGGCTTGGCGTGGAGTGAATATCTTTCTTGGAGAGGATGGAGGAGACAATGGTGTTGTCAGTGCGGATGGTGAAGTATTGCCTGTCGAGGTACGGGCACCAGACTGTGAGGGCGTGAATCACGATGAGGAGTTCCTTCGCGTTGGAGGGGTAATTCATCTCCGCGGGAAGGAGCTTCTTGCTTGCAAAGGCGATGGGGTATTCGTCGGGTGGAGCCTCAGGGTGAGTGGGCGAGGGGGTCTCGGCGGTGTCGCGGGGGAAATGTTGGAACAGTACGGCTCCAATGGCGAAGTCGGAGGGGTCAGTGGTGACATAGAAATGGCGACTGGGGTCGGCGATCTTGAGGAYAGGGGCCGTGGTGATGGTTTGCTTGAGTAAGTTGAAAGTGAGTTGGCGGCGATCGTTCCAATTGAAGGGCTCGTCCTTGCGGGTGAGTTTGTGGAGAGCGAAAGAGATCTCGGAAAAGTTGCGAATGAACGGGCGGTAATAGTTGGCAAGGCCRAGGAAGGAACGGAGTTGGAGGAGGGTCTTGGGTGGGGGGTACTCGACGACGGCTGTGACCTTCGAGGGGTCCATACGGATGCCTTCAGCGGAGACAATGTGGCCGAGGTATTCGACGCTCGAAGCGGCAAACGTACATTTGCTGAGCTTGGCGTAGAATTTCCGCTCTAGGAGGATCGAGAGGACTTGGCGAATATGCTGGAGGTGGGACTCGAAGGTGGGACTAAAGATGAGGATGTCATCCAAGGTACACGACGACACAGACTTCGAGGAGGTCATGGAAGATGTGATTCATGGTGGACTGGAATGTGGCGGGGGCATTGGTGAGTCCGAAAGGCATTACGAGGAGTTCATAGTGCCCAAACCGAGAGCGGAATGCGGTCTTATGGGTGTCCTCCTCGCGGATACGGATGTGGTGGAAGCCACTGCGAAGGTCAATCTTGGTGAAATATTTGGCTCCACGAAGTCGATCAAGAGCTCGGAGATCCGAGGTAAGGGGTACTTGTTCTTGATCGTGATCCGGTTCAAGGCGCACATGCGGAGTTTCGAAGTTCCACCTTTCTTTACAAAAAGGCAGTTAGTACCGAAGGAAGATGAACTCGGCTTAATGAACTCTTTTTCAAGGAACTCATTGAGTTGCCGCTTCATTTCTTCGGCTTCTGGGACTGAGAGTTGGTATGGAGGGCGGCAAGGTGGAGAATGTCCGGGCTCCAAATCGATGGTATGGGATACGCCACGATCCGAAGGTAATCCGACAGGTAGGGACTCAGGGAAGACGTCCTTGAACTCGTTGAGGATAGAGGTAAGGGCGGAGTCAGAAGGGAGGGCTTGATCGGGTTTGTCCGTTGGGAGTAAGTCCTCGGGACTTTCGCGGTCAAGGACAAGGCAATAGCATGCAGAGTCAGGGTTCATGTGGGCCATGCGGAGGAATTGATGCGGGGTGACGGAGCCTTGGGAGGTCGGATATGGGAGATAGGGGATGTCGATGGTTGTGTCGGGGGGGTTGGTGAGGCGGAGGAAGTTGGGGTGGAATGCGTATGGCATGTAGCGGTCCAGCCACGGTGTTCCTAAGACGACGCCGCACATCAAATGGATGACATCAAATGAGACCTGAGTGCGGAGGGTTCCTACTGTCATGGTGGTCTCGGGAACCGTGCGGTCCACTACGACGGCGATGTCTTTGTCCCCTAGACGGACCGTAATCGGGGAGTCGTAACCGGTAGAGGTAAGACCGACTTTCCTAACACACATGTCGGTGATGAAGTTACCGGTGGCTCCTATGTCGAGGAGGGCCCGGAAATTAGTGGTAGACGCACCAAGGGTGGCAGCGATGAATTTGAGGTGGAAACGGGATGAATCGGCGGTGGAGATAATGGTGTTGAGGCGGCGTTGTTCGTTACCTAACCGGACAAGTCGATCGAGTCGAGCTTATTCCTTGACAACATCGGAGAAGGTGACAGAGGATGGATTTGGAAGGAGGGTGGAGGAGCACGAAGCAGTGGAGGGCGTCTCAAGTGATGAAGGTTGCGACGCCTCGGGGTCATCCGGTAGAGAGGGTGTCACCGGGAAGGGGGGAGGCAGACGGATTGTCGATGCCAAATGGGTCGTCGATGGGACGGGGGATGTCACCGGCGGGTTGGCTGGCAGACGAGTTGTCGATATCGAGACGAGGTCCTGGGGACTGTGTTCAGGACGAGGAGGGACCCGCGCCTGCAGAGGGGGGTGACGCGGAGGTTGCGGGTCGATGGGCCGAGGATTGGCGGGTGAATTGTCCAGCATTGGGGCAGTTAGTTTGTTGGTGTCCTAACTAGCGACAGCGGAAACATCCACCCTTCGCCTGAAGGTAGGTTCTTTCCTCGGGTGTGAGTTTCTTGAGGCGGCCCCGGGGGTGGTCAAGGAATGGCAGCTGGAGCAATCTCTCTTTTCCATTTGCATGAGGTGAATGGCAGAGAGTTTGTCGGGGGAGAGTGATGTGGTGTCTAGTGGATCGGAGAGGGTGTCAAGGTCGAGGGAGGTGAACTCGTCCGAGAAGGTGGTGGAGGTGGTGTCCTCGGAGGCGATGTTGTGGAAGAAGCGAGGGCGGGGAGGGGCCGATGTAAGTGCGGGCTTGTAGGGGGAGAGGATGCGGTCGAGTTGGAGGGTACGAGTGAGGAGGTCTGCGAGGGCCATGGGGGCTCGTGGACAAGGGCGGCCGCTAGGTCTTTGCGGCAAACGCGCTTAACACGGGAGATGAAAGCGAAATCGTTGATGACGTCAAAGGGGTTATGTTGACGAAGCGAGCTGACGTATTGCACAAAACGGTCGATTGGTCCAGTTTGTTGGAGCCGATAGAATTGGTCGATATAGTCGTCGACCGTTTTCTGTGGGCGGAAGGTGGAGGTGATGAGGGTGGCCCACTCAAGGAAGGTGTGAGGCCGGATACCGGCGTGATGGCGATTAGACATTATGGTGTACCACCGGCGAGCAGCGTTGTCTAGAAGCTGGCCGCCAGCGATGGGGAGCCAGTGGATGACGGGGATGTCGTGGAGGGAAAAGGCCTGTTGGAGTTTGGTGAGAAAGAGGAGGACATCCTCATGGGGTTGGCCCGAGAAGGTGGGGATTTCGTTGACGCAGAATGATGGGGGAATTTTGCCTTCTCTGGGGTTAATGGTGGCAAGGGTGTTGAAATCAAGGGTGGGAGAGGGAGAGTCGAACAGGGTGAAATCATTGGCGGGGTTGGTGGGGATGAGAGCATTTGGGGGAAGTAGTGGAGGAGTGGGATACACAGCTTGTGGAATGATCTGGGTATAGTTGGGGATGATTGAGGTAATAGTGGAGGTGGATAAGAGCGGTTTTGATTGGGGGGGAACGGTTGATGAGTGTGTGCCAGCAGGGGTTGTCGACTTGGGCGAGGTGGGAGATGGAGCGACCATGGTGGAAGTAGTGGTGGATGAGGGTGGGGGTGTACAGGTGAACGGTGTTGGTGTGGAGGTTGAAGTCGTGGTGACGACCGTGATAGCGGGGGAGTTTCCCTCGAGCGTGGTGACACGATTGGAGATGGCGGCCATGGTGGTGTTGATGATGGCAAGGGAGGATTTGAGGGTGGTCAACGTTTGGAGGATAGTTACAAGTTCCCGGGAGGTGGTGGTCGAAGTTGGCTGATCGCCTGCGAGTTCGCGGGCAATGCTGTTGACGGAGTCGGAACGAAGATCAGACATGTTGACGGAAGATTGGGCCATGGTGGGGGAAGAGGGGGTGGATGATGTGGCCGGAGCGGAAAGGAAGCGGTAGCAGCGGATGTGATAGCGGCAGCGGTGGCGGTGGCAGCGGCAACGGTGGTGGTGGCAGCGGCAGCGGCGTCAGGGGGGCGCGTTGGGAGGTCTTGGTTTGGCGTGGTGTCATGTGGAGTTGGGGGGGACAATTCCTATTTACAAGAATAGAGCGTCATCAAGTGATTTAGCAATGAAGGTAGCAGAGAATCGCAGAGCAAGAATTCATTTTGAATAAATTTTACAAGAATAGAGCGTCATCAAGTGATTTAGC